TGTATGTATCTTTTCTCAATACCATTTATTAAAAACATTGTCATTTCTCTATTCTATGTTCTTGCCTCTTGTCATAAATTAATTGATCTTCTAAGTGAGGGTTTATTTCTAGGATTCCTATTCTGTTCCATTGATCTATGTGCCTGTTTTTTGTTTGTTTGTTTGTTTGTTTGTGCTGACTCCATACTATTTTAATTACTATAGCTTTGCTGCTTTCAATATTCCCTCTTTAATTTTTCCATTTTAATTACAGTATGTCTTGGTGTGTGTCTCTTTGGGTTCATCTTGTTTGGAAGTTTAGGAAAGTTTTCAGCCATTAAGGTCCCTTAAACTATCCTCATTTTTAAAAATTCCTTTCTTCTTTTTTCTTTTTCTGATTGGGTGATCTCCACTATTTTGTCTTCCAGGCTACTAATCTATTCTTCTGTATTATTTACCTGCTATTTATTGCCTCTAGATTATATATATATATATATATATATATATATATATATATATATATATATATACACATATATATATATAATTTATAATTTGATTGGTTTTGTATTATACATTCTAACTCTCTGTTGATGCTCTCACATAGTTTCTCTTTTCTTCTCCCAAATTTGATGAGCAGCCTTAAGACTATTACTTGGAATTCTTTATCAGACAAATTAGTGATCTCCATTTCATTAGTGGTTTTTACTGTTTTTGTCTTTTTCTTGTTCTTTAATTTGGAACATATTGTTTTGCCTTTTCATTTTGTTTTACTTTCTATGTTGGTCTCTATGTATTAGATGAAACAGCTATCTCTTCCAATCTTGAAAGCATTGACTTGAATAGGAGCAACCTTTTTGTGGATGCTGGGTGGGTTTTGTCATGCCAGTTGGAATGTAAGTGGGTGTGTGTGCCTCCTGGGGCATTCTGGTGGGCCAGCTGGCTGGGGCTGCAGCAAGTGCTGGCCGAGGTGGCCATGGCATGATGTTGGAGACCTTGCAGGGTGGTTAGAGGGCTTGGATCAAGCTCCACCCACACTACCCAGGAACAAAAGATAATGATTTAATGATAATTATTTCACTTTTCTTTACGAGCTGTGATTCTGTTTGTAAATAATGGGGCTCACAAATACCTCTGGTCCTAGAAAGTTTCCACACATGCTGAACGTCCCTGCAGTTCTCTACCTATTTGGCAGTAAATGGAATCTTTTCATGCTTAGTCTAAGAGCTCTTTAATACCCTAGAACAAGTGAGTCTGTCTGCAAGTCCCCTCAGGAATATTTCCCCCTACTACAAGTCACATGTGGGAGTGGGGTCCCCATGATTTTCATGTCTCCATCTCTCCTACCCTTCTCTATGTGGTTCCTCTCTCATTTCATGTGCAGAAGCTATTCAGCCCTTAGTTCTTTAGGAGGAATTATTTTATATGTAGGTTTATATTTGTTATGTTCATGGGAGGAGGTGAGTTATGGGTCTTCTTACACTTAAGTTCAGGGCCATATTCACCTTAATGCATTATACTTTCAGTAAAATTAAACATGGTTATGAATTTATACCCCTAGTTCAAGTAAACCTGAAAAACCTTACCATAAACTTGCTGACTCAAGTCTGTTCTAGCAAAGACGTTTTGTAAAACACCTGAGGCTGTACTGCTGAATTATATAACCTTATCATTAAATTCCAATATCATTTCTTCCATTTTATTACACAAACTTTTGGAAATCATCAAGAACCTTTATCATTATTTCTAATTATAATTTTTACAGATTTGAATTGAACAAACGATAATGATTTAATATTAACTCTTTCACTTTTCTTTATGGGCTTTGATTCTATTTGGTTTCAAAAATAGTAAATAATATTTACCCCCTTCCTAGCCATAATGTGAAGACTACAAAGAAAAAAGTTGTTTTATTCTTAGAAGAGTCACAAGCAGCTATTGCGTATAGAGGCAGGAAGTGAAATCCACATGCAGTGCTTCTGTCAGCAAAGACTTTGTAGAAGAGAGTTTATAATAAATATTCACATCTGCTGCTTTGGACACTTTAATCCATCCTAAGGATCTTTGCTGTGTCAGGCTTTGTTCTAGATGAAGAAGCCCAGTAGTTATAAAGGTTTGCAAATAAGCTATATTTATCATGGTTAGCTTTCTTTTTATAACTTTTCTCTGTCTTAGAGATATCCATGACAATGTTTAGGATAATTTGTGATTAAATATTTCACTGTGACTCTATGGTGCTGTCATATAGAATTTTCATCATGGGATAGACAAATTCTATTTTCACAATATATCACCTACTTATAATTTGTCAGGAAGTCATCATTGATAACAATGCTACCTGGATGTGGAAAACATAACTCAAAGTGCTTATGATTAAATGCTAGCTTCTGCTATAGACAAGTTTCTTAATTTTTCCAAACCTCTCTTTTTTCATCTATATAATAGAGTTACTATTATTTTTTATTATTAGATTATTATAAGGATTATATGAAATTATCCATGTTATGTAACTAAATCTAGTATCTAGCATGTTGAATTTAATGAATTTTAAATGTTTACTAAAATGGTACTATATGCCTTTTAAGTTGTATTAGATAATTCCATGAATTGTACTAATACTATATTTGTTTAACCCATGTACTGAACTTATATAAACATAATCTTGTTTTTACTTACCTCCACATTTCCTGATATTTTGCTACTAATTTTTTTAAAAATAAAAGTAATTAGAATTGAATTACTGATGTATTTTTCCTATAACAAAATTATCCAATCATAAAAATATGGTATGAAAATCATGAGTATACTTTGTGTTGCATTTAGTTCCCTACGTAACAAAAATTTAACTAAATTTTTAATTTTTAATTAGAGTAATAAAAACCAAAGTTATCTTTAAAATGGAGGTATTTTTACTTCAACCCCAAAGAAATTTGTTGTGTCACAGTTTTTAAAGAATAACTGTATTATTATAGTCTTAAGTAACAATTTAGTATAATTATAATAAAACAGCTTACATATAATACAAATTTTAAAATATAAATAAATTATATACTATATATGTGTATACCTTTGCCATGGATATATTTGAAGCTTGTGTTTTTAAAAAAGGAAAGCTGTGTTGCTTAGTGCTTTCAACCTCATCTCCTCAATATTATTTATTAATCCCAAATTTAAGGGGTCTAGCAGAGCATTTGATGACCTCTGCATATAAAGTCAGTAACACATTAGGTTTTACTTTTTCATTTTAAATTTTTATAATTTAATCATTCATGTGTCTTAATTTTGACTGGAATTATTTTCTATACATTCAGGACTTAGTTCATATTTAATGACTGGTATCTAACACAAAACAAGTTTGTTGAATTAAAATTAAAACAAAATATGTATTGATCTCACTAATATGTGGAATATAATGAACAAAATAAACTAAGGAACAAAATGGAATCAGAAGCATGTACATATGGGACAAACTTGCCGATGCCCAAGGAGAGGGGGGTACGGGTGACTGGATAAACAAGGTGAAGGAAGCCTGGCTGGCTTGGCTCAGTGGTTGAACATTTACCTATGAACCAGGAGGTCATGGTTTGATTCCTGATCAGAGCACATGCCCAGGATGCAGGCTCCATCCCCAGTAGGGGGCATGCAGGAGGCAGCTGATCAATGATTCTTTCTCATCATTGATGTTTCTATCTCTCTCTCCCTCTCCCTTCCTCTCTGAAATCAATAAAAACATATTTTAAAAAAGGTGAAGGGATCAGCTAAAGAACATATATGCATACCCATGGGCATGGACAATAGTTTGGTGAAGGCCAAAGGAGGTAGGAGGTGGGAGGTGGGGGTGGGTGGAGGTGGGCAAAGGAGGGGGGGGAGACAGCAGCAATTATGGCAACATTAAAATTTTTTAATGCAAAACTATATATCTTATTGCTTATAAACTGTGACTGAGGAAATAAAACTTTGATATGCTCCTCTTTCTCTCTCCCTCTCTCCCTCTCTCCCTCTCTCCCTTTCTTTCTCTCTCCCTCCAGGTCGAGTATTAGCTCAGGCGAGTGGCAGTGGCGTTATTCATTTGCTAGATCTCCAATCAGGGCAGATTTACAAACTGGTCGGCCATGAGAATGAAGCTCACACAGTGGTGTTTTCTCATGACGGAGAGAGTCTGTTTTCCGGAGGCTGTGATGGCACTGTTCGAGTATGGTCTTGATGGTCAGCATATCCCACTGCAGAGGGCTTTCCCTATAAGGCTTGGAAATGCCTCATGCAGTCCCAGTCCAGTAAATACCTGATTAAGTATGCAAGCAGGTAACATTTACAATTTGCTTTAAAACATGCTTTGAATATATATTTTAATGCTCATACTGTTACCAATAAAAAAACAAAACTTTCTGTTCATTTATTTGTGTCTGCGTCTCTTTTTTTTTTCTTCTCTTATTTTGATAAGATTTTAGAAACAGAGCATTTTTGCTAGAGGTTTGGAAGAAACAGCTTTACAATGACGCCTAATGACAGACTAGATGAATTACAGGAGATTGATTTTGAATGTTAGAGAACAAACTGCAGGAGAACCAGGCTACTTTTTAAAAAATCAAATTTAAGCTTCAGGAAGACCTGGAGTTTAACCATGTAGCACAGGGAACGTGTTTCTTCAACTGAAGAGTCCATTAGAATTGGACGGCATACATTTTTGAAGATTCTTTGACAACCGTTATGCTTTATCTATTAATAATAATCAGAGACTGCAGCTGGCTTAAATCTAAATGCAAGGCTCTTCCCGAACTTTCATCACTGCAGCCCATCCAAGAATGCATTAAGTATAATTACAGTGTTTATTTTTTTATTGTAATTCAATGCAAATAAGTAAATAAGTATCTCGCACGTAAAGTGCCCCCCCCCAACCCCCACTCCCCCACCCCCCTGCCCCGTGCATGCATCAGCTGTATAAAGTGCGACTGCTTAGAGAACACCAGCCTGGTCTAAAGAAGCAGCTCGGGATTACGACCCTGGTGGGCTCAGAAGCCAGTTGGCGCTGTCCGTGGTGCTGAGGAATTCCCGGCTGCCGGCAGAATGAGCTCCAAATCAGCAGTCTGCAAACTGCTCTCAGTGATGCAGAAACCCAGCTAAAGTTGCTCCTTTCCTTCACGTCCACAGTTAGTATTTTCTGGTGTGTGAGAAGGGATTCGAGCAACATATTGTGGATGATGCTGATGCCGTTGCCAGCGGAGCGGGTTTTAAGCGACAGCATGCTGTTGCTGTTTGTGATCCACCGAGCCTAGCCAAATCACCTCTACTGCCGTAGCAAACACTGTGTAAGTGAACTCATGTGTGGAGGAGGCGTAATCAGCCGGGAAATTTCATAGAAGGATCTGAGAAAATGCTAAAAACAAGTTCAACATGATTCTGCTACTTGAGTCTGGATTTCTACAGGACCAGCATTGCTTCTTGCTTTGAATTTTGGAGACAGGTCCAAAGCGTATTTCTTATGTGTGTCTGCTGTATTTCTCTCCGGAAGGGCGGGAGACTGCTTCTTGACTGTGGTTTGAAATGAGAGGTAGAGAGAATGGATTGCCTTTAATTCAAGCCTGAAAATGCGTTCTTTGGACAATTAAAGAGGAACTGCTTTTCTAAAACATACCTGATCTTTTAGTTCATATTGGTCTATGACCCCCATCACCACTGTTAACCTCCAGAGTGATTAGGTAAGTGTATCTTATGACATGAGTTATGTTTGTTTTCTCAAAGAAATAAATGCAGTCGTTTTAAATGATATGTAGCAATGTGGGGAGGGGAGGAGAAAGTTTAGCTGGAAAGTGTTCTTCCATTCAGCAATGTTTGCTTGCTTATTAAAAATCTTCAGATAAATATTTTATTGGGTTTCTCTAATATTTTTATCTTAAATAGTGCCTTAAACTGCACTAAAGCAGCTCAGTTATGAAGGGGAATTTTGTAATAGCTTAAGAACTTTATTATATTAAAAAGAAAACCATGTTTTTCTTCATGCAGATTTTAAAAGGTATTTCATATAATAAAAGCATGCTTAATGTTTATATAAAGTGGATATTACACCCATTTTTACCTTTAAATATACATTTATTATAACCTGACATTAATGCCTACCTGTAGCTTACAGAGATCATTTCTGTCTATGTCCTTTTGAAGCAGAATGATATGGTTATTTTATATGGCTTATTTTGTATGTATTAACAGTTACTACTGGAATACTATAAAGAAGCACAATATATTTTTTCTTCCAGGGTAAACTTTATATATATATATATATATATATATATATATATATATATATATATATATGATGTATAAAATGCATGCCTTAATTAATAAAAACATATGCTTTTTTTTTCAGAAGCTTCTGTAATGTTTATAGCCTTTGTAGTAATTTAAGAAAAAAAAATGCTTTGTCAAAGGGAGCTTCCAGATTCTCAAGTAGAATTATAGGTTTGCATTTTTTTATTCTGTCATGACTCATTATTTTTAACATATTTCAAAAGAAACTCATCTCATTTATCATTACCTACCCAAAAGGATTTAGAGAGCACTTTTCTTTTTAAGGGAAGGCATGAACATACTTCACTCTATTTTACTATTACTAGAATTTGCATATCTAATTTAAAATGCAAATATTATAGGCTCATGAAGTTCCCTAATGCCATCTTTACCTTATTTAAAAGTATCATCTGTATGTTAGACTGAAAAGAGATGGTTTATCATTGCTTCTATTATAATCTGAAAATAAAGCATTAAATAATATTCACAAATGATCTGAAAAATGTCCGATATACAATTTTAGTGATTGTTGGCATAAAGCCAAAATCATTTAAATAGACAAATGAACTATTTGACAACACTTTTACTTATGTATTATTCCCTCAAGTCGGTTTCCCCAGAGTTTTTATATGAGTTAGTCACTCTAAACATTTAAATGAGTGTTGCTAGTGGGCAGCACTCCACACAAGCTCTAATACTATGTGAAGCTTACAAGAGTCAATGCTACTAAACTAATAAGGAATATAAGGAATATTTTCTATGAATGGAAACTCTTCATTACTATTCTATGAAACCAATAGTTTTACTCTGGCATTTTTGTGCAAATTATCTTTTGCATGTCAAAGGAGAGATATGTATTCAAGATTGTTAAGTGGTACTTATTATATATTAAAGTGATACATTCAAATAGTATTACACAAATTCTAGATTCCAGTTGCTATACAAATTATCTGATACATTTTTCCTGCCCACTAGGAGCTTACTCTCTGAGTAAAATAAAGATGTGGACAATAATATGAATATATTTATTTTTAAGTAATTATTTTAAATGCAAGGAGTTCTCTTGTATCATTTGTTATTTTAAATTTTCTTTCTCTCATTCACTCTAGAATAGTTATCTGTTTTTTCTTCTTGGCTATATTTCAAAATCCAGATTTAAATTTACTAAAACAAGAAACCCTTATTGAGACCATTGTTGTTCTCCAACTATGGGCATAAAGAAGCCAGAAGGCCTTTATAATAGCTCCAATCCAATTACAATTAACATTCAATTGTTGGTTTCTTCCCTTTCCCTTAAAAGTAGAATTTTTCTCACTAATTTCATGAGTTTTTGTACAGATGGTTATAATGCATATATGTTCTCTATCACTGACTAGTACAGTTTAAAGAATAATAGAAAATGTAAATTCAAGTACTCTGAGTTATTGGTAAGTAACCACTTGTAAAATCACCCTTTGAGGTTCAGTAAAATAATCTATTACAAGTTAGACAAAGCCAGACCTTTAAAAATCAGAAGGTGACTTCAAGCTTAAGGTTCTTATCTGAAAGAACTCCATATATGTTGCCAAGGATCAAGTCTCTAGACTTCATAATAAAGCATAGATAGTTGCATGAACTTAGTCTACTTCAAGTCTATCTTCCAAACAGAGCCCAAATAAACAGGTTAAGAGCATAGGGTTAAATAAATCTACATTTTCTGTATATATGTCAAATTACTTTTTAAAAATATTTATTTTCAGCCTACCCCTCCCCATGGAAGGAGCTGAGTATATTCAGTAGTAGGAGCACATCCAGAAGCCTTTGAGGAGGGGGATGGCTCTTCATATTCATGAAGCTTGCATACTTCTCTTGGTTATCCCTGGATTGGTCACCTCTGCTGCCATCAGTCATGAAGACTATCCTGCTGATGAAGGGGACCAGACCTCCAGTAATGACAATCTGATCTTCGATGACTATCGAGGGAAAGGGTGTGTGGATGACAGCGGCTTTGTATACAAGTTGGGAGAACGATTTTTCCCAGGGCATTCCAACTGCCCTTGTGTCTGTGCTCTGGATGGACCTGTTTGCGACCAGCCAGAATGCCCTAAAATTCACCCAAAGTGTACTAAAGTGGAACACAATGGATGCTGTCCTGAGTGCAAAGAAGTGAAAAACTTTTGTGAATATCATGGGAAAAATTACAAAATCTTGGAGGAATTTAAGGTATGAGTTACCATCCATGTTTATTGAATACTAACTTTTCACACCACATACTTAGTAAATTATTACATTCAAATTAAAGCTGGAAAAACATTTTTAAATTTCCCTTTAATTTACAACAATAACCCAGTTAGAATATGTACCACTGTAGTCAACAAATAGCTAACTGGTTTGTTGAGCAATACCTAATTGGTTTCACAATAATTTTTTCTTTCAGAATTATTTGTAGCATGCTGCCATCTTTTTCCCCTTAAAATTTTCTTCTGTGTTATTACAAAGTGTATTTTCTGATGGAAACACTTAATTGGAAGCTATATGTCTATTAAGTTAATGTTTAAATTTTATAAGATTTTTTTGATGTAGCTTGTTAGCCTGTATTTGGAGCCATTTAACCATAACCTAGGACTATCTGTTCAGTGTATGGAACTGCAATGCTAGAGAGACACAGTTTTGAACTATGGTCTTCATATTAAGAATATGCACTGGACCTACTTCTTGTAGAGCAGAGTCCCCATTCTGTTCTCTGATCATTAGTTTTTTGGGGTATTTTTAGTTACAGGATCCTAGAGTGAACTGAAATTTTATCATAGTCCATTGTAAAATGTGGTAAAAAAAAAAAAAAAAAAAAAAAAAAAAAAAGACTAATTTTTCAGCCTCCATGGTATTTCCTGGCCTTTCTTTTAGCCTTTTATCATATTTTCAAGTAACTTGGAGCTCATTTTTCTCTCCTTTTTAGAGTCTCTTTTCTCCAATGGCTAGTTTTAATTAGGGGTTCTTACAAGCCAGATTGGAGCCCTGAGGCTATAAATTAATGTATTAAATTATCCTTCTGAAATGCAATGGCAGTTTGTGCCATGGAGTGCCTGTCATCCTGATGACTTGATTTAAAAGATTTTAATTTCATGTAACCAAGTTCAGTGACAAAGTCTCGGAACCTTATCAGCAGAAGAAGATATAGCTAACTTTCAGGATGGCTGTGTATGTGTGAGAAGAATGTTCAGTCATTAGCCCTGACCAAACTCCTCCACAAGAGTCAAATGGGAAATGAAGTCAATGTGTGGAAGAAAGGTTTTAACTAGTAATAATGAGAGCATTCTGTATATTAGCCTTTCATTGCATTCAGTCCGTTTCAGATTGTGGGTATAAACTAGTTCCAAGTTACTCAAGGAAAACCAATCATTCTAAAGATTCCTAAAGACAGGAGAGGGCTTTTAAAAATAATTATCACATTCAACTATCTTACACATAAATGTTATTCTAGACTTTTCTCTTTCATGTATTAAAATACTTTGTGGCATAACATTGAGAAGAGGCCTGAGAGTCTAGTCAAATTACCATTACTGACATCAAATAATAGTAGAGTGTAATACATTTAATAATAACTTTATGGTCTCTAAAATATTGGATACATTTTGGCACTGGCAAAATTAGGTTTACAATTGTATGTGAAACACTTTATTCTTGTATTATTTATTTACTTATTATTTATTATTATTGACCTACTTTTGCCTGGGCCTGTATGTTCCTGCTGTAGTCATTATATAACTCACTGATGTGAACAAGTTTTCCACCTAACTCTCTGTGTCATGAGATCTTTAAATGTGTGTGTGTGTGTGTGTGTGTGTTTTAAGATGCCACTTGTCTACAATAATTTAAATATTATCTAGAACAAATTTTTAAGAATGTGGAGGTGAGACAAAGAAATTTTGTTACTTGTCCAAATTGTCAAGTTATTTTACCTATTCCTAAATACTGCCATTCTAACTAAAGTCTACAGAACCTCTCAAAGCACTTTGGCTCAGGAGCCAGATAGACCAGGATTCAAATCCCAAATGATTACTTAGACTCAAGACTTTGGAAAGAGTCCTTAAACTTTTTTGAGCCAGACGGCTAAAAAATGACCATCATAATAATTATTTTTCTTTGGAGGAGATATTAGAAAGATTTAATGAGATAATTTATGCAAAGTTAGCAGCCTTGTGATGACTGGTACACAGTAGATATTGAACAAATGGTGTTCTCATTCCTCTAAATTTTAATGTCCAGGGATTTACTCTAAGTTGTAAATTCTCTATGACTTCATCTACATTTTATAATGGAAGACCAATATTAAAAGTCATTCAATTGAAAGAATTCCAAAACTTTTTTAAAACTGTTCTATTTATCTATGTGAAGTATATACACCTAAGTAAATATCAGCGATAACCTGCTATCTTGATTTTCTTTCAATTCAGCTTGCGAGAGACAAGCATTTAATTTTTAAACATGTAAGAAACTTTCATGTAATAATCTTATTATGGAGGTTATGTGATGAGATATGCTTACTTATAATATATTCATCTACCAAGCATTTACTGTATTGTTTAGTCTATAGGATACTATAGATGTATTTATATACTTACATTGGAAAGTAAGATATTTAGAAGACACAATCTCCACTCATGGAAAAGCATGGACAAAGTGGAGAGAGATGGGATGGGGGGTGGGGCAGCTCTCTAAAGTGTGTTACTGTGAAGCTCAGCACCAAGAAAGGTGGTGTCAGAAACTTATCAACATGCTGTAAGGTTTTAGTCAACAAACTTTCTTTTCCTTCACGATGGTCAAAATTGAGCCTGTTTTAAAACAAGTAATTAAAATTGATCTGGAGAGATTAAAGTGCCAAAGAGGAAACTGCTTGAGCAAAATCAGAGACTGGTGCGAATAAAATCTGCAGAGAGAGGAGGAGGAAGAGAATAACAAGAAATAAGCTGGATCTTATGAAATCCTATTATGATGAGAAAAGTAAATTTGTATATGTTTTGGACAATGGAGAGAGGAACTTGAATACTGGGCCAATATATTTAGATTCAGTCTAAAGAATAACAAGAAATAAAATGCAGGTTGTTGGGCATAGAGATGACCTAGTTTAATATGGTTTTTTAAACCTTGTAACTAAATAGAGCATTGATTAAGAGCTGAAGATGAATTGATGGCTGGGGAGGTGAGACTGTTGCAGAAAACAAAGAATGAGATGACCAGCATGCATAAGTGCACAAACATTCAGGACTGTGTTTAGGATAAAAATCTAAATTGCCTAGGATAGCCTAGATTCTACTCGTCGACCTCTCCAAACACTTCTCTCAGGGGCTTCTCTTGCCTGTTTTCTTGTGCATGCTGTCCCATACTTTTCCACCGTCACACACTTGTATAAATTCCAGCAGATTACTTCAAATTTCCATTTAAGTCTCATCCCCACTGGAAAGCTCTCTCTGATTGTTCTACTGCAGGATCTTGAGCTGGGTCTCACTCTTCTCCTGTATCGTTGCACAGCTTGCTGCGCACAGCATTAGAACAAGAACCGTAATCCTAGCCAGGCACTGTTAAAGCCTTTATATGTATTAACATGCACGTCATTTCATAATATCAGTATGAGTATTATACTTTTTCAGCATTGTTTTACGGGCAAAACCAAAGCATCAAAGTGGAAGTAGCTCGCCCAACCTCATATAGCTCTAAAGTGTATGAAGTAGGATTCACACTCAAGCAGCCTGGCTGCAGAATCTCAGCTCCTCACCACCTCGGATGCCTTCATTGCACCACAGTAATATAATTTGACACAGCCTGTCACTCCCGCTGGACAGTGAACCCTGTAAGCCTAGGGACAGAATTTTCTTTTTTCTCCTCTACTCCCAACCCTAGCATTACATGAACCACAGTGCAGGCATCCAATACATTTTTGGTGAGTGACACATGAGTCAGATTATGATTGAACTCATTGAATAGAAAAGTTAATTAGAGTGCCTTTAAAATACCTTAGTTTCTTTCTGTTTATGTGTTGATCTCTTCATTTTAATTAGTTAAAAGAAGCACTCGACGTTCAGATAAAGAGTAATCTTTGGGCCCCTAAAGATGACACATCTTGTTTACGGGACATCTATTTCCATCCTGTGACTTTCTACTTGTCTTCTTCCCTCTTTCTAAGCAAGGCTCATCTTGGAGTCTGCCTCCCTCCGAGAGCCATAATGACCACCTACTGTTTTAGGTGTGCTGTCTCACTCTACACAGTTGCAAAACATGTCTCTCCTTCAATCTTCTCTGATCACCAAATTCAAATGTAAATTGGGCCACAAGTGTCACCAATATGAAGAATAATGTTATGTATAAAGGTTGGATTTTTTTTCAACATGACAGATGCAAGCTTTGAAAATGGATTTCTCTACTTTTTTTGAAAACTCTAAATTTCCCAGTGTTCTAGTAATATTGAATTAAGATAAAGGTCACTATATAGTAGATTTTCTCATCTTTCTTTTATGTGTACCCAGGCAAAAAGACAGTAGGCCTACTTCTGAAGAGATAAGGATTATAAATAATACATTACAATAGCATTTTCTACAAAAAAAAAAAGGTTGATTGGAAATGTAGGCTCTGTCAGCTTTGGCTTAACTATCTTATGCTGAGTTTCCCAAAGGGAGAAATCGTTTCTTATTTTGCTCAGTATTTTTATCACTCTCACTCAGCTAGAATTAGCCTTTTTGGATTTTTTTTATACTTTAAAACTCGTACTGATTTAGTTTTAGGTCAGACACTGAAGGTTATCCTACATGCAGCTGGAAGAGATGGTTCAGCTTTTACACAGCCTGTCGCACTTTAACGTGATTTTCTCCAGTCCACACCCAGTGTCCTTCACTCAGGATTTGGATTCACTCAAGATCTTCCTTTCTCCGCAGGCGTTGACTTCTGTCCTTTTCCCACTGCGGGCCAAAGACAGCAGGTCAGGGTTTTGATTCTTTCTTTTATTGTTTTCAGTGTGATTGTTTTCTCATTCCGCACATTTTATGTACATGTTGTTGCTTTAAAAAAAAAAAAAAAAAGTCACAATATTCTCCCACTGTGGTAGGCTGCCTACTTTTTGCCCTGAATTTTGCATTACTATTTAAATCTGGATGAAAGAAGCAGAGAGGACAAAAAAATTAATCACATGGAGTATTTTGCCAAATCATCCCGCCCATAAAAATTGTAGAGGT